TCTCTCTCTCTCTCTCTCTCTCTCTCTCTCTGTGTGTGTGTGTCTCTAAAGTATCGTAAGTGTAAAAAGGGTGGTTTGATTGAGCTCCCCCTCGATTCCCCATTATTTTATCATTTATTTATTAAATAATGTTATGTAATGTCGTGTTGATCCCAGAATGTGTCGCGAGCCGCGTGTCCCCCCTCCGCAGGCTTCTACAGAGCCAGCGACCAGTCGCGCTCATGAAAACGCAACGTGATCCTCGAAGATTTTCATGTCTTTTCGGAGGAGTTCTGCTGCTCTCTCCTTTCTCCACTTTCCCTTCCTACTTTCTCCCTTGCCTCTCCCGTGGCAGACGAACGCGAAAAGGACTCGCCTCGGTAATAAACATGAGCGTACGAGAGCGCCCTCTAGAAATATCTTTATTTAGATCTATGGTAAATCCTCTAGAGTTAAATATATAATTAAGCCATATATTTAATCAGGTAGACTCTTCAGATCGAGAAACACCCCGTCGCGGATTCTGAAACGGTTCGCGCATCGAGATTGCCCCATCGCCTTCCGTCACCTTCCATTTACTTTTTTTTTCTCTTCCTTCCTCTCTACCTTCTTTCGTCGTTCGTATTGCAAATACATAATATGCCGTGTGTCACTTAATATATCAATGCTCCTCGTCAACTTGCAAAGTTGCATTCGTGTCTCTTAATTATAGCCGTCTAAAAGAATTTAAGCGTTTCGGACGATCGGCAGTCTGCGACCGTATTCAGTATCAGTAAACAGTAATTAGATAGTAGACAGTAGCAATAAGATTAGATAATAATTCGTAGTAGTAAGATAATTAATTAATTGTCCTCGTTATATCTCTAGTCCTTTCAAACTGGTCGACACACGCACTCTTCTCCTCTCTTTCTCTCCTCCTATCGCAACGCTGTGCCTAACCTAATATTTAAATCCAAGGTAAAAAGAAAAAAGTAGTACCGGTGATCAACACATGTCCGGCGCAATAAAGTGTCCGGCCGGAAGCCGGTCCGACGGTCGGGGAAAAACCAACAAGTTCTTATGGTACAATTCACAAAAAAAAATGCCTAGAATAATAAATGATTAATGTCTGCGAGGGAATGGGCCCATTCTTACAATGCCCATTCCCAACTGTCAATGAACGCACATTACAATAATAGAACAAACTATTTAACCGTTAGCCTAACTGTATAGGGTTTCGCCCATTTCACTTCCACGTTATAATGATCCACTATCGCGCGCAAATACTTTAGAATCTCTCCTATACTTAAGCTCCTCTCTTATTCGAACGTTTTACTTTAATTCGCTCGTTTGTATTCGTGCCTTCTTTAAATAACAACTAGCCCTTTAATTATAAGGTGCACGGTAAGGCTCCTGATGGCAATGGGGCTTCTCTCTCTCCCTCTCTCTCTCGTCCGTCCTGTGCTTCGCCTCCTGCGCTAAATACAGGAAAATTCATCTTTCAACTTTCATCTCTCGGCTTTCGGCTCTCGAGCTATACAAATCATCCACTTTTCAATCATTTTTTTTCTTTTATTATACATCATTCCTAATATAGAATCCTTCGATTCGGCATTCGGCATTCCTTCGTTCTCAGAGGAAACTAGACGAGCCACGTGTAACAAGATCGACAAGAAGAATCGCGCCGGAGTTTAATCGGCGCGAGAAAAGTAGAGAATAAAAAAGAAATTAAGAACTTTCCCAACTCCGTTTCTTTTGATAAAACGGAATAAATTCCTACGCCGCTTCGTCTCAGCTTCGCCTCCTCGAATCGTTCCTCCAACCAGTATTCGTATTACCGTATTTATCGTATCATTAGAATTATTATTATTGTTATTATTAATATTAATATTATTATGTTTCGACCGACGTTTAATTTGAGTCTCTTATACGCGTCATTCTCATTGAAACCTCCTACGCCTTTACGCTCGCTCACGCTTCCGCATCGCGTCGTTTCATCATGTATTTCTTTCCCTTTTCCTTCGTTATGTGAAAAACACTGAAAAGATGTGTGTGTATGTGTGTGTGTGTGTCCGAGTGCGCGTGTGAGTCTGTAACCGCGTGTCTCGCGTGCAATTTATTTTTTTTTTCCTTTATACCATTTTTTTTTCTTTTTCTAATTAATTTACTATATTCCTCTCACTCTCATCGACAAAGTCCTTTATCCTTAAACGCAAGAGTTAAAAGGGGCCTCGTTTAAAAAGCTCCTACCGTTTCCCAGCGCCGCGTGTGTTTCACCTCCCTTGCATCATGGGTCTGTGTGTTTGTCATTTTCTCTGGATTCTCGCTCAATACTTCAACTCCCCTTTATCCACTTCTACCTGCTCTCCTACTTCTATATCTTTTGCTTTCGTGTTTTCTTAATCTTCTATTTTCTTTTTTTTTTTGGCAAATTTCATCTCGTGCGACTTATTTCTTCATCCCTCTCCTCCCCTCCCTCACTCTCAGTCTCACGCCCCCTTCTCTTCTCCCTCGCCTCCTTGTACGTGGTGATTCTCGAAAAGTGTTATCTCAGAAAGGAGACAGACTACGTTTATACGTTTACGTGATAGTGAAAGACTGTTTTTAGCAAAAAAAAAAAAAAAAAGTCTATTAAAAAAGGGTAACCAGGGTTACCACGAAAGTCCAAACGATATAGCGTTGGAGACACTTATTTGAAAAATTATGAAAAATTACCTGAGCCAAAGAAAAAAAGGGAATTACGAGATGAGCCGCGAGTCCCCAATTTTCGCGGCTAATCCTTTTTACAGTGTCGTTCGAAGACAGCAAAGCAAATGAGTATAAAAATCGAGAAATCGACGCGTAACAGAGGATGGATCGATAAGAAGAGGGCGAAGAAGAATGAGAATAGAAGGAAGTTGAGGAAAATGATGACAAAGAAATAGCAGTACCAGCAGGAGCAGTAGTATAGTAGTATAACAGTAGTAATAATAGGTAGTAGTAGGTAGTAATAGTAGCAGTAGTAGTAATAACTGTAGATGTTGATGTTGTTGGTAAGTATAATAATAGGTGGAGCAATAGGTGAGAACCCACGAGCAAGGCCAGGCCGTTCAGCGCATCTCTCCATCGCGGGTCAATTAAAATGGTCATGAGGTGGGCCACTCTTTGAAATCAAAGCCTTGCTGGCCGGGTTTAGGGGCGCTGGCGGCATACCCACCTTGGTTGCTCTCGCCGCCTTGGTACGAGCGCTGAGGAGGATAACTCGTGTCCGCGTAGCTTCCGTATCCCGAGTACCCGCTGTAGTCCGGCGTCTTTGCTGAGCTGCTGCTGGAGCCTGGTGCTCCGGAGCCTGTGGTCTGCCTCGAATACATGTCACCTGCAACCGGCCAAATTCACCCTTTCTCAATTAGCTGCACCCGTACCGGCACCCGTTTCCTCTCGTTTTACTCTGGTTACCCCTCGTAGCTGATGCTGCACGACTCCCCCTTGGGTCGCCGAGAGGAAACCAAAGTAAAATTCCCGAGAAAGGGAAAGAGTATAAATCAAAAAATGAATTGCAGGCACACACCAAGCAAACGAAAAAATTTATTTAAAAAAAAAACATAATTTTGCCTTAAAGCTTCGTCAACGACCAAACAACTTTAGACTAAAGAATGAAATGTGCATTCCAAGGGTTCAGCATTCCCGATGTTGTTTCGTCGTTCATTCGGCCAACGGAGAGGAAAGGATTGACGAAGGATGGGAAGAGGAGTGCACTATTATCCTACGCTACCAACTAACTCGCGACTCTTCCTTCCTTTCTCCATTCATCGCTCTCGATTTCTTCCATTTTCTCTCTCTCTCTCTCTCTCTCTCTCTCTCGCTCTCTCTCTCTCGCTCTCTCTCGCTATTACCTTCACCGTTTCGGACATTCATTCTATCAAGAGAAACAACACGTCTACTGACACATATTATTATACACTAGCACTGGCTCGTCTACTGGCTTAACGGAAGTGGGGGTACTGGCTGGTACTGCTCCTGCGCCCAAAGGGGGGGATCCTTCTCGCATCTCAGTTACTTTCTTTTTTTCTAAATCTCTTTCTCCCTCGTCACGCGCGATCCCCCAGCCGAATTTCTCTTTATTTTATTTCCTTCTCGTATTTCTCCGTCCATCTCCCTTGTCTTTGGTTCTCCAAGTCCTCAAGAGTAAAATCGTATTACCTTCACCGTTTCGGACAT